TAATGACGGCACTACTTGCTTTGGTAAAAAGTTATCACATGTCAACACAAGTTCATAACCTCACTTTAAAGTGAGTTTACGAGGCTCACTAAACCACACGGTCTCTTATGCAGATTATGGGTAAAAACTCGGTTGAATCTCACTTGACAGAATGCAAAAGGAACGCGCATTCAACTGAGTTATAACGTCAAAAGTTAGAATTATCGGAGAATCGATGTAAATGGAAAGCAGCTAAAATCAGATTATGAACATAAAAAAATTACGTGAGCATGATCGGTGTTTTCGTTACCATACTATTATTCATCGTATTACCTGATTTAATTTAAGGTCCATTTACAATAGAATTTGCGGTAGGCAATAAAATAGTAGGACGTCAGCAATAGCGCAATTTCAACAATCATGGGGTGCGATTACATATAACGCGGTACGCAAAGGCATATGCTGGATTCACCCCGTATCCGATTTTCGTCGTACGACGCTCTTCGACCAATCAGAAAACGGAATTTCGATGATATGAAGCAAAATCCAAATCGAAATCCTGTTTTCTGATTGGTTGCAGAGCGTCGTACGACGAAAATTGGATGCGGTGTGAATCCAGCATAAGAGAGAGAGACCGTGGCAGACAGCCATTTCTATCTCTTTCCATTCAATGGTGTAATGGGAGAGAGAATGAGAGGGAGATTGTCCGTCTCCCACGGTTCCTCTCTCTCATTTTTGTCGACCACATTTGATACATTACTTATAGCGTTTTCGGCCCGATCGGGTTTGCACCAACCTGGGTTGGATTACAATAGGTATTTTAAGCCGTAAGAAATTGACCAATTACAGTCGAATCCGAGAAGAATAAGCGACTGTGATTCGCCCATTTCTTATGGCTTAAGGCTTGAAACCCTATTGTAGATCCGGACTTATGGTCACGTTCAGCAGATTCAACTGTTGTGGAGCGAATCCGTGAGCGCTCGCTGCTATTGGATGATCTAGAAGAATACACCAATAGCAGCGAG